TCAGCATCAGCATCATCATCATCATCAACAACAACAACACATCGTCAACATCACCATCGTCATCCTTCTCCTCCTCCTCCGCTTCCTGCTGCTGTTGCTGCTCCTGCTGATCGTCATCATCATCATCATCATCATCATCATCATCAGCATCATCATCATCATCATCATCATCAACAACAACATCATCATCATCATCGTCATCAGCATCGTCATCATCATCATCATCAGCATCATCAGCATCATCAGCATCATCACAACCATCAGCATCAGCATCATCATCATCATCATCATCATCATCATCATCATCAGCATGATCCTCATCATCCTCACCATCATCATCATCACCATCATCAGCATCATCATCGCCATCACCATCATCAACAACACATCGTCAACATCATCATCGTCATCGTTCTCCTCCTCCTCCTCCGCTTCCTGCTGCTGCTGCTCCTGCTGATGATGTTGCTCCTGCTGCTGCTGTTGTTCCTGCTCTGCGTTCGCGCATGTAGCCGATTTCCCCGCGTCACCGTTACGCGTGGGGGGGTCGGGGGGGGGGGGGGGGGGTAACACGAGTTACGTTCGGAACTGATGAGAGAACGATATCCTGCTGGTTGCTGCTGCGGCGGATGCCTGATTGAAGTTGTTTCCCGATGTATGTTGTTTGTTAACGCGCCTCCGTCGATACCTCAAGTGCCCTGCAGTGCACGCTGGGCAATCTCGGAGCCTACTGATCACGGGATTTTTCTAGGACCGCTCGAGTCTCTCTCCGTCTCCCTCTCTCTCTCATGTCTCTGCTCTCACGTGTTCGTTATCAGCCTCCCTCACCCCCTCCCTCTCTCTCTCTTTTTCTGTCTATGTGTTGTTTGTCTCTCTCTCTCTCTCTCTCTCTCTCTTTCTGTCATTATCTCTCTCCCTCTCTCTCTTTCTCTTGTTTCCTCTCTCTCTATCTCTCCCTCTCCCTCTCTCTTTCTCTCTCTCTCTCTCTCTCTCACTCTTGTTGATTATCTCTATCCCTCTCTCTCTACACCTCTCTCTCTGTCTCTCCTCTTTGACTCTCCTCTCCTTCCTCTCTGCTCTCACGTGTTCGTTTTCTCCCTCCCTCCCTCCCTCTCCTTTTGTGTTTCTCTCTCTCTCTCTCTCTCTATCCCGTTATGATGTTTTTGTTGTTCTCTCTCTCTCTCTCTCTCTCTCTCTCTCTCTCTCTACATATCTCTATCTCTCTGTCTCTCTGTCTCCTCTCTGGCTCTCCTCACCTCTCCTACCCCCTGTCTCTCCCTTTCTTTCTCTCTCTCTCTCTCTCTCCCTCTCTCTCTCTTTCCCTCTCTGTTTCTCTCTCTCTCTCTCCCTCTCTCTCTCTCTCTCTCTCTCTCTCTCTCTCTCTCTCTCTCTGTATATATATATATATATCCGTCGCTTGTTGTTTATCACAGTCTCTCTTTTTCTTGTTGTTCTCTCTCTCTCTGTTTCTCTCATGTTCTCCTTTTATATCTCTCTCTCTCTGTCTCGCTCTTTCTTTACTTTTTTTTTTCTCTCTCTCTCTGTTTCTCTCTCTCTCTATCTCTCTCTCTCTCTCTCTCTTTATCCAGTCTGGGCCCGAACCCCAGCAGGAACAGAGCGCGGCAAGGGCGCGAAACCTCCCGCGCCTTCTGGCCCGGTGAGACCGCAACCGGGGCCTTGCCCCACGGACGATTCGTATCGCCTTCCCCATTTTGACCCATCGCCGCCATGGCCTGCGCCGCCGCCCCGGGCGTTCGCGCCGCATGCGATGGCGTCGCCACGGCCAACGACCTCGGCTGCGAAATTGACAGGACTCCAGAGAGCGGAAATCAGCTTACATGCGCAACGGCCACCTCCACGGCAGCCGCGTCTCGAGCGACAAATGCATTTTGTTCGTCACGATGCTTACGTCTTGTGCGTTCCCATCCTGGCTGAGCATGCCCTTCCTGCCCCGCCTCGCGCCCCTTCCACTCCTCGGGGCGCTCTCCACTTTGGACGCCCGAAATGGGCACGGAAAGAATGGGTACAATGCCCAACAGCAAATGCTGTCCCAGACCAACAGCGGCCGCTGTTGGGCAGGCGGCCTCCTGTCGCGAATGGACACCGGCCGCGGCGACACCGACAGCGAGCCCTGTCCAGAATGAACAGGAACTGCCGTTGGGCATTGTACCCATTCTTACCGCGCCCATTTCGGGCGTCCAGATCCAACCAAAATCTCCCAGATGACGCGCCACGTCTCCGGGGCGAGCTGCACGCGCCACGCGCTCTCGCTCATCCACTAGACCGCCGCGCCGCCACGACGGCGACGCGGCATATCATCAGAAGCAACCCGTCGCACCTGATCCCCCGCGCCCCGCCGCTCTCCCACGGCGCCCTCGGCTGCGCCAGCGCGGCCACCATCGGCGCCCGCTGCGCGCGCTTCGCCGCGATCCCCGTGATCTTCGGCAGCCTGTTCTGCTCCGTCGGCGCGGCCTCACTATGCGCGGTCTTCTGGGCCCCAGGCCTCGTCTCTCGGGCTCGCAAGCCCCCCCTTGGCTGCCGCGCCACTTCGGTGGCCAGCCGGGCCCTCCTGTTCGTCGGAAGCAACCTGCTTCGCGGCGGGCCTTGCCCTCCCCGCGCGCCTCCCGCGCCCTTTGTTCGACCGCCCTCGGCGTCGCGGGCGCGGCGGGCCACGCCCTCCCCAAACGGACCGCGCCCGCCACCGCAGGCCCTGCGATCGCAACCCAGGGCGAGCAACGCACGCTCTCCTGCCGCGCGCTCACGGGCCACGGCCCGCACGCTGCCCGCCCGCCGCGCGCTTGCTGGCCACGGCTAGGGGCCAGCGCGCGCCGTCCTTGCCGATTCTTCACCGGCCGCGATCCACGCACTCACTGCGCGCGCCATCCGGACCGAGACCCCGCCGTCGTCGCCCGCGCCCTCGCCGCCAACCGCCGCCCAGCCACCCGGGCCCCGCCCCCCGCTGCGGGCGCGGGGCGCCAAGACGCGCCGCGCCCCATGGGCGGCCCTGTCCCCGCGACCGCTGCCGGCCCGAACCTCGGGGCCCACGTCGGCGCCAGGAGCGCAACCCAATCGATGGTCTCCGCAGCGTCGTCCGAGGCCGCTCTGGCGACGCCACTGAACTCTGGATCGTCGCGCTCGCCGACGGGCGCGCCGCCCGCCGGCTCCCCGCCAGTCCGATCGTCGACGCCCCAGCGCCAAGTTCCGAGGCCCCGCCCCTCGGCGCGCGCGCCCCCCCAAGCCCCGACCCAGGCCCCCCCCCTCGACCCCCCCCCGCCCTCGACGCACGCGGCGCGGCAGAGGGGGCGAGCGGGGGGGGGGCGGAAGCGGGGGCGACAATCGCGACCACCGCGCCGATAGCGAGCCCTGCGCCCACGCTGCTGGTGCGCCGCACCAATCGCAGTCGCGCGCCCAGCCGACGGGGCCACGGGCGACCGCGCCTCCGAATGCCGATCGAGCGCCGACTTGAACAGCGCGCGCGCCGAACGAAAATGTTACTTGAGAGCTGGCCTCTTTGCCAATCGTCTGGCGCCGTCTCGCCGCCGCCCTCAGCGCCGCTGCCGTCGGAGTCACTGCAGGGCTTCGCGCGTCCTCGCATCCCGTCGCCCACGCGCGCGCCCTCTGCTCCGCGCGGCTCCGGCGGACCCGGCCCAGGGCGCGGCCGGAGGGGTGGCGCTCGCTGGCCCGCCTCACCAGGCCCCCCGGGGGCGGCGCAGCAGGGCGCAGCGCGGGCACCGCGCCCCGGCGCCCCCTTCCCCCGCGCCCCCCACCCACACCTCCCCCGGGCCGCCCTCCGTTCCCAGCCGGCGGCAGCAGAGGATCAAGGGCGCAGGAGCTGGGGAGATTGATGACGACGACGGCAGGCGGACGCGCGGCTCCCAGACGGTCTCGGCCGACCCCGCCGCCGCTGGGCCGACCCGAACCCCGCCGCCCCCGCCGTCGCCAGGCCACCGGCCCTCCCGAGGCCCCTGGTAGCTAGCGATGGTCCTGACGAACCTCGCCCGGCCTTCGCGCCTTCCTCTCCGGCGCGCTGACCGCGCACTTGGTGCGCCCCCTGCCCCGCCACGCCACCCGGCATGACCTGCGTCTCCGTCGGCCAGGGGGGGGCGCCCTGAGCCGGACCGACCTGCGCGCGACAGCTCATCGACGAATCGAGCTCCGATCGCACGGTCTGCGGCCCCCTATAGTACCCGCCTGACTATCGCCAACAGCTCGTTCGCCCTCGCCTCCTGCCTGGGCGAGGCCCTCGGCCTCCCGCGCAGCGAGGTGATAGCTCTGGTCAAGCATGTCTTCTCCAAGCGTCTTCGCACCGACTATCACTTCCTCGCGCGAGCCTTAACCTGGTCGGACACATGAAGCACGACAGCGCTACCACATTGACTTGGACGAGTTCTGACGCCCCCGCGGCATCGGGCGCGCCGCTTCCTCGCCGCACCAGGGCGCCGCCCCCCTGTGCGAGCCGCGCCCGCAGCCGAGGTGGTGCCGTCGCCTGGCGCTGCCATTGAGAGGCCGCGCTTCTGCTGCTGCGTCGCATCCGCTTCTTCCACGTCTCTGACTTGCCTCACGAGGACCCTGCCCCCCTACGTGAACCGCGCCTATAGCTGTAGCGGTGCTCCCGCCTGTCGCACCCCCCACTGTTGAAGCCACGCTGCAGCTGCTGCAGCCCCACAGCGGGAGCGCCGCTCGCTGGCCCTCCCAGCGCTCACTGCCACCAACGCGCAGTGCCATGAGTGTTTCACTCCGCTCTTTTGTACATTGGCCGTCTGACGGTGCGCCCTAAACCATCCACTGCAAAATATGTTACGTCACGCTGCATGTCCTCTCAACGCCAACCGTGCCCGCATAGGGCCCCCACCGCGGCCGCAAGCCCCGCGTCTTGTCAGCCCGATTGCCCGCGCGGCCACGCGACGTCGGGGCCTGGCTGCGGCGGCGGGGGACACCCCGTCGTTCGCAATCCGCTCAGCGGTCAAGCCAGCGCCCCCCGGCCGACAACCGGGGCTTCGCCG